TCAGGGAGCTGGTGTATCATGAAAGGTAGCTCACTTGAATTAACACGGATTAGATTGAAACGGAAGATCAAAATTGAGATCCATTGTCCGCCAACTCCAGGATAACAAGGAGCAACTTGAACAGAATAGCGGAATTAACAAACACTCGTTTCTAACCAGCCGCCAGGTTGCAGTTTCAATATCTGTCCCAGATTCGTCGACCCATCCTCTTTTACATTTACTTCGTCCAAATCACGAAGGATATCCCCTATATAGCTTCCTGTACCGCTGAACTTGAAATTGAACGCAATCACACGGTGGACAGCAAGAAGTCGTTGGGAAGGTGGTTGATGGTACGATTAGGACTCAAGGGCAACGTTCTGACAACAGGTAACGTAATTCCCAGGTGAGCGGAACACTCTAACGAGCGGAACACTTCTGTATTCCATGTAAATCATCAATTTTTTATATTCAATGGTCGCCCGATTCTCATCAACGAAAAGTTGGTCGCTGGTACGGCCTGGCGTTCTTGCAGTTTATTGAGTCATTGGACCTCGGCCTTTTCAGCGGCATACTCAGTTCGGCTCCTAATGAGGCACGTGAACTTATTAACCAGGCGAAAGCAGAAGCATCCGATCGCAGTGTTCACAGTTTTCATGTGTTACATATATACAGAGCAAAAAAACCCCACTGAGCTAGAATCTGATTCCTTGCAAGCCTAATTCGAAAATCAACGCACTGAGCAACTGCGCTGGGTGTTCTTTGCCCATAGCTTACCTTCTGTATGCCTTGGAAGAATGACATAAATTTCCGTTATATCCTAGCTCAAAAGTGTTACCCTGCAACCTTTTCTTATGTCTCTACCCTTGATGGCAGGGCCCCTCCACCAACCAAGAGGCGCACGCGGATGTGTTCTGTAGACAGAATCCCATTTTGCGATATCAGATGGCCGTATTTCCCTTATCGCCGGATATCTGTAATAACAGTATTCCGAGTAGACTCCCTTCTTTATATTGGTAAAAACCTTCTCCAAAGGAAGCTTTACCGTCTCCTGACCATTGATAACATCGTAGATATTCAAGGTAATGCCAGACAGGAAGTAGACCTCAAATCTATCCTTGTCATATTCCCAACCATCCTGAAGAGCGGCAAAGCACCGTTCACTTTCATATTTAAGATCGCCTAAATGGTCACCTGCAATAAGAGCAAGGTAGAGACGATTTAACGATTTTCGGGGGCGATAGGTACTCAAGCTATGGCCAATAAGAACTGGCGAGCATCGATCAAATTTCAAAGTAAACTCCAGCCAACTAGTATCTTTGAAGATCTGGTTCCAGAGCAGAGAACTGGTATTTATAATATTTTCGACATCGGCTGGCGTCATGAAGTCCTTGATGCTTAACCAAATATCAAGTGGGATTTCAAGGGGCTTCATTATCAGTGACTAGCACCGGTGCTGGTATTGATCCGGATCTTTATAGGGAAAGGTATTTATCGATTGCAGGAATCATCCAGAAAATACTTTATCTTAAGTGTGAGTTCTGCATTCTTATCAGGCTGGGCACCATCCGAAATGCACCTACACCTTTGGTTATAAAGGCGGCCAATAGCAATCTATGCTCTGGATTTTTCTGAAGGTTGCTCGCTTTTTTGCACCTATTCCACCTCAAAGACTGTCCGTCGCCAATAGCAAGGACATAGAAAATACCTTTATTACCTTACAACTAGACTCATAATTACCTGATTTACAGTGAACGGTAGAATGAGTATGCGCTTTCATTCAATGCAGGAGCTCAGTTTACGCTAAATCCTTGCCAATAGGGCCAGAAAATAATCAGTTTGTGGGACTTATACATATATATTATTATCTGTATTTTTAGCCAAGTATTGTGATATCTTACGATTTTGCTTACAGGAAACATTACCTTAAGCCCTACCAGTCCTAAGCAGGATCGGCGGAGCTTATCTGACCAATTTAGCGGAAAAGGTTGGCAATCCTACCAAGACGAGAGATACTTGTTTCTATTTTTCACCTTAGGAATATAAGCTGTCATCCTGCTTAACCAATCAACACTTATAATTTGTTTTCGATATGTCAATAATTCATCATGTATGGAATATCCCAAGACTAGCTTAAGAAGCCCCTTGAGAACGGCGAGCCGGGCTTCTCCGACATACAGTACCTAAGTAGTTTAACATACTACTTATAGTGTTAGTTCCTTATTTAACAACACTTTAAAATCTAGACATCGATATTAACTGCAGGATCGTATATTACGAATAGAGTTACTGTTAAGAAAAGCCGCGGTGTAAAAATTAAGAGAAGTTGTTTATATGTATCGACGGTTTGGCACCATGCGTGAGTTATAGCATGTTTCAGGCTAAGCATAGCATACATTCAATCCTTGATGCTTCCTTTTAGGTTACAGTATATATTTCAAGTTGAATTCATAATTCTTAAGATCAGTGGTAAATACCCTTAGGATACTAAATCTAAATAGAGTAGCTGGATCAATTGCTATGTACTTGAAGGGTCAGTAAAACTGGCACTTTAACTCGCCATTAAGGTTGGAAAGGTTAAGATCTGAGAGTTTCAATTAGCCAAAACAAGACAAAGGAATGTATTTGCCTACCAAGATTGATATTTGGGTAGTTGAAGTGCATGTCATGAGTCCCACAGCCACACGATAGCCAAGTTCCATCAATGCTGCAAGACGGGCAGAATCGTGACATCTCGCCTCTAACAATTTTTAGTACTGCAGCTTCTATACAACGGCTGAACACACCTTTCTTTAGCTCTAAGGACCCCATCCTCATTGCTGTAGCAATAATTCAAATCTAGGCTACTTCTCATTCTGGCGCCATCCATTTTTGTGCAGGTTGCAGTCAAAAAATGCTGATTCTCCAGTGCTATATTATCGCAGGTAGCAGAGAACCCACGAGCAGCTGACATGGATGCAAGGTAAAAGAGACTGTGATACCACCATCGAAACGGATATTTTCCCATATACACCCGATCGCAGACAGGCCACTACCACATTATGACCACTAATTTCGGCAAGTGTGTAATTGTTGTGGTCGGAGTTTGCGGGAGATAGAGAAAAGTGAACTTTGTCTAGCATGGACTTTGCGGCCTCCAACACCAGAGGTAATGCGCACATCCATGCGACCGTGTAGTCTTCGCCAATGAAATTCATTTTGTCCGCAGAGTGGCCAAAAATTTAATGCACTCGAGCCACGCATAAATCTTAGGGAATGCCGGTCCGTCTCCTGCCATAAGAGTAAGAGTCAGTTTTTCTATCTGCGTAATTGTCCGAAGGTGTGGCAAACACATCGAGCTATTGAAGAATAAAGTGGGCATTCGATGAAAGTTCCCAATTATCAAAAAGTGGGAGCAGACGTCTACAGGTACGTACTTGGATATTGGGTCAGGCACCAAAGAGCATTCTGAGCGGTGTTCGGGTGCTGCCAAGCCTCATAGAATCACGTACCACGACCTCATCATCTTCGAGACCGCCAGGTTCATAATGTAGAGTAACGTGATGCACCGCCAAACAGCATATCCATCGCTTAAACCCCGAGGTAACGATTTTTGCATATTAGCCAGCCACCGCCATCACGGACGGCAGTGAACGAAGAATATTAGGCCAAAAAGCCAAGAAGGGAAGAAGAAAGAGTTCTATAGATCCCAGACATCAAGATTCAGTTTCTAGATCAATCCATCCTCTTTTCTATCTTCCATTTGGAAGCTAACGCACCAGATGTCCAATTGGTATTCTCAGTGGAACCATGCCCCAAAACCTCCGTCTAAGAGACTCGAAGCTCTTCGAGAGGTTCTAGAAACGCGCCCTCGACAGGTCGATCAACTATCGAACGAGCTCCATGCAGGTTGTCCCGTCGAAGAACCTTCCGACCCCAGAGAATATCAATGGCCTGATAGCATACAAACCGAGGGAAATGAGGTATTCAATCAAGTGGACTATGTCGGAGGTCATCATCAGGAGTTCTCGTTACACTTGAAAGAGTATAGTATCCCATTCCTTGTCATGATGGCCACATATTCAAGGATTGTCGTTGATCGATTTTAGGCTAAATGATCGAATGGAGTATGTCAAATGTCATCTGGGGGTCTTCCCGTCTCATGCTTTTTCCTTCATATTGTGAAAACAGAAGAATAATAGAAGAACACAGTTTGGGGGAAGTCCTATGGCGTATTTAAGGAGCTGACAATTTGCAACAGGGTACTGGAGAATAGTATAGACGAACAGAAACTGTGGAACAAGCAGTTGAGCTGGGCGCTTGGTCAAGTTCAGAAAGCGCTGGGTTTGGATGGGAACACTGGCACAGGATCGCCGGCTGGGAGGCGAAATGGCTGAGACATGCATATCTACCAGATAATTGAAATCTCGAGCGAAGGATTTCAAGGACCTTTTGTGGATGCAGGGTATACACAGTATTGCCTACGTGGGGTATCCAGAGCCGGATCCGCAGCGCGTTGGGAGTGACTCCTCGGCGGTCATTAGACATACATTGTGTGGAAAGAGATCGGTTTCCGACACTTATCCCCGTGTCTTCATAAAGGGTAAGTATATACTTATTATCCATAAAATTATAAACACAATCTTGCCTCTCTTTTCAGCGCTTGGGTCTTGACCCTTTTGCCCATCTGTCCTGTCCAACCGACCGCCGCTCAAAGAAGCCGTTGCCCACTCTCATGTTGTGTGCTCGACTCGGCGACCAAGATTGATGCAAATGGCCAACCAATCGAGTAAATTTTTGAAACGAGAAACCACATTCGTTCTTACATAATAATATCTTTTAAAAACTCAAGCTCTCCGCCTCTTACTGCTATAATCGTTTCAGGGCTCAGCAATATTATCCACCATCCAGCACCTGTTGAATTCAAGGTACGTCTGTTCAGCTCCTTTTCCCTCCTCCCTTCATACTCATTTTACTGGACAGAGCCTACTCGCCAAAAGTCTTTACCGAATCATCGGAAACCCTCGGTTGCTCATCCAACGATGTGGCTAGACCTCGAGCGTCCGGGATGGGAATCGCTTTGCGGCCATTGGAGTACCGAGAGAGACTTTGATTGTTATCTCTGCTCCGGTTATGACGACCCAAACTTCTATTCGTGGTCCGGGCCCAGACTTCTATCCCCGCTTACGCATGCAGAGGGCCTCTTCCATTATGTTTCGTCCATATTTCCGATGCACATCAATTGGCTGGAAATCCAGTTCTCCGTCATACATAAATCTACGGACGAGTCAGTTGCTGTCCGGACTTTCTTGCTGCCCAGGGTTGAACATACCCTTGGGGCCCTGGCCCGGTGTCGCGAGAGGATCTGGCGGCTAGTGAGTCAGTATAGTCGATCCAAGAGTGGTGCGGATTTCCGATTCGAAGCATTCATATGGCCGAGGGACGAGTTGGGATTGAGTTTCGACGATAAGTCTGGGGAGATCAAGTCAAACAGCCCTGAACGGGCACTTGATCCAGTTCGGTTTGTACGCAACATCTACCATTCCTGATTGTCCCTGTGCAACCTTTAATCGAATTCCCACTTAATACGGATAGGGATCATCGCAGCTGTTATTTTCAGATTAAAAAAATGCTTCCGTGCGAATTAATTTCGCCTGCGTTAAATGGACATAGAGGCAGTTTAGCCGAAATTTCAAACCAATTGTTGCAAGAAGCGAGCAGGAACTTAAACTCTCTGGTACAAGGCCTGGCATTTTCAGATCACTGCAACACGTCAGTCGCACTGAAATGGAGGCATTCGCGGAGAATTCAAAAAGAATGGAAGAAGCGGTCGCTTTCAGCAGATTATATGCACTCATATAACTCTAGACAGTATCGATGCAAGTATGTGTTTTCTAGCCGCAATCCCACCCATGAACTTATTTGAATTACGTTAGCTTTGACAACTGCCCCGCCTGATACATACAAAGACTCTTTGACCGCAATTTAGATACAGCGAAGATCTCTATTAATCTGTCCCAAGGCCACACCGCGCTTGGGGCGCCGAGCAACCTCCCTATTGCATGCCAAAACAGCCGGGCAACTATTGAAGAATCCTCATTGATAATGTTTAGACGCAAGAAACAACTGAGTCCGGTACCCTATCGTAATACAAGTGTGCGCCGAAATATGCTTGACATTGCAACAGAACTTTTGCGAATTTATCGGTGCAACAACGGAGAATAGCAGACATAGATTGAAGAATAGAGTGGGTAGGCGGTCTTTTGTAATTAATTTAGCCGCTTTTGTAGTCCCAGAAGGCGTCCCTGAGAGAATGTCCAACCCATAGCTAGGCAATACATCGGGCTTCTGACGCGAGCAAAGGTGAAAAGCTATAGTCCTACATCAAATACCCGGCCAATGACGGGCTTTAGGCAAAGTAGTGAGTTGCCTTTTCTGCCCGTAAATCGAGTGGCGCGGGTAATGGGCATTCCATCTAAACCATAACGCAAAAGATGTGGGGCAATCCCGAAACAAGCCGTGCAACTTGAATTTTTAACTAGAGGGCTTCCTGGTTACTCGCGCAGGAGGCTATAACAATTGATACGTTTGAGCGGGAGGCAACTAATCTTAATTGTACGGTGAATTGAAGAGGAAAGGAAAAGTTCTAATGGTACCGTATCATTCCTATAAGAAGGAATCGCTATATTCCAGATATATTGAACCAAACCACATCAACTTATGAGCACGGGGACGGTCCAGTTTCGGAAATGAACCAACTATTACTTGCCTTGAGCCTCAGCGGGCTTCCAGGCATAGTCGGGTGGGGCTCCCTGAACATAGTAAGACATCGAGGCCCTTTAAGCGTACGACATCTAACGATTCCCAAGACAAGCGTGACTTGCCAGATGGATGAGTACCTCAATATACGCAGATCTGACATTATATATCCGATCGAGTTTCTTCGGAAAGGCCCCTTCGTTCGTGATTTTAAGTCTGGCTGCTCCGTTGTTGCTGCTTGGAGGGCTTCAGCTATCTACCTATGTCATGACGTAAGCTACAGACATCAATTAAGCACCACTCAAGCTACTGACCTGGCCAAAGAATACCGAGCCGATTACCATAGAATCACAGGAGATAGGACGAATAGCCTACGAAGGTACCAAGACATGCTGGTCTAGAGCTTTCCGATCCCATGTTAAGACGGCTCAGGGCGTCACTGTACGCCTTGAAAGGCCTGAATAACAGAATTTGCGAGCACCAGGCTCAAATGACCGAAAGGAGGTTGTACTACATGTCTCTTACTGCGAAGGGGGATTTTGAACCTCGAGTTACTTCTTTGCCAGGCTATTATTTTACCCCGTCAACTAGTATAAAAGTCTGTCTGGCCATCATGGCGAATAAGGCCTCTTAAAGCTTACGACTGTACGCCTAGAAATACAAAACCTTCTGCAGGGGACCACATGTACGGGTGCCATCATACTGCAGTGAATACCATAATCTAGAGCAAGGCCGGTGACAATGGCCCAGTCTAGTTCCTAATCAAGCTTTCTATAAAAACGCTATTACTCTGTTGATAAAGGCTCTAGAATCTTACCCGGTGGTAGAAATCGGATGGCGGTGCCTCAATTACGTTACAGAGTACGACTACTTCATGCTGTATATACGAAAGGGCAGTTTTGGTTTAATTCGTCGTCGTGCGGCTGCTTAGTTACGAGTTGTATTTGGATCCTCTCTGGGAACAGAGATGCAATATTCTTGAACTATACAGCATTATTATTATTATTATTTATTCATACCCTGACCCCTCGCCCTAGGCGATATGCAGGATGCCACTATCACTATACTATTTGTTACGTCTTATATACACTGAACTATTACTTTCCTGACGAACTTGGAGCCTCGTCAAGGCCTCTGTTGGCCGTTGCCTGGTGTTCTGTTCTGCCGCCCTCGTGGCGCGCGACTTCGAAATCTCTGCGACGCCTCTGCAAAGTCCAGTACCGCCCCTAGGACGCTGACGCTCTGCGCGGCATCTCCTAACTTACCTTCCTTACCTTGGCCTGCTCCTCCCAGCATATCTGAAATGTTGTTGAACGCTCCGCCGATCTTCCGCCTCAGTTCTTGCCGTAGCGATCTCAGCCGCGGGCAGTCAATCAGTACATGGACCACAGTTTCTGTTGCTCCACATTCACACTGTTCGTTATCTCGGAAGCCATGTTGCTTGGCATAGGTGGCGAGCCACGAGTGGCCGGTCCGTAGTTGGGTGAGTAGGTATGCTCGATTGCGGGGGAGCGAGCCGTAGAGCCGGCGCGTGCGGTTTGCAGGTAAGGTTTGATCTATGCGGCGGAGGTGCCTTCCGTTCTTGGAGGTCTTCCATTTTCGTTCCCATTCGCTCTTGATCTTGTTGCGGACGAAAGCCTTCTCTCGCGATAGGAGATGTTGGAAAGGATGTTTCTTCTCTGCACCCACCGCCTCCTTGGCCAGACGGTCGGCTGTTTCATTCCCAGGGTCACCGCAGTGTCCCGGGACCGATTGTAATCGCAGCGGGATTCCTCGTGCTTTTAGCTCTGCAGCAGACTGGTGAATAGCTCGGATGATCCGCTGGCCTGATTTGTTCCATGAGTCTGCGATTACTTGCAGCGCGGACATGCTGTCACTGAGGATTGTCGCTGGGCCTTGGGCTGTAGTTGTAGTAGCATGCTTCTTCCGCGTTACTTGAAAAACCAGCCCGAAATCTGCCTCTTAATCGAAGTATTTGGCCCATTGACCTCCCCATGAGTGGACAGAAATTTCCAAAGATGCTTTCTCAAGATATCTTGAGTGGTCGTCAAAGTCGGTGGAAGTTCGTCATAGATAATTTTGCAAAGCGTAAGGACCGCGGAGGACCTATCGGATTTGTAGTTACGACTCAGGTCCACATAGGCACAGTCGTATGCAGCGTGTAATCCTCCGAGCCAAAATTAGAGACACGAAATGTTGCAGATCGTATTCGAGAGCGATGTAACAAGTCTTGATCAACCGCCGACAAGGTGGGTTGTTTCCATTGGGACTCCGGATAAAACAAGTTCTGTCGCTGGTTCTGGCTGAATATCGCATTCACCTGCTCCCGAAAGTCCTCATGTTGGGTTAAGCAGCTGAGGCTTTTCTCCCAGTTCTTATCAAAATACCTTGCTGGTCCTTTCGCATGTGAAGTAAAAGATTGGCAATAATAAATATAAATATAGAATAGTTAGTTATTATTATGCGTCATTAAGTAGCAGCTTAGTAACCATAGATAGTTACCATAGTTATAACTCTTACACATTGGGCAACCTTTCCATAGGTTCTCATTCATAGAATGATCTAGCCAGAGTGGACAGACCACACTGCCAAGTACGGAACTGGCCGGAGGTGCAACTCTGGTGTAGATACTTGTCTGACTCGTTTTTCGTCAAGTGATCCAGCGGTACTTGAGGATGGTGTCATCATCTTTACCTCAGTTACTGTTTCCGTCTTCCTCACATTCCACCCAGGTATCACTGCCCCTTGACAGGGCTATATCATCGTCAGACAAGTCCTGAGTAGGATTAGACGGAGGTCCAGGTTGCAGGATCAATTCATCTCGGCTTTCTGGACCCGGTGTGGTGCTATTGCAGCCCAAGTGTTCTTCTTTCATTATTGATTTGGTCGTCATTTCGCTTGAAATCTCCGTGCCCATCACACTTCGAATGGAAGATAGCCTTTGACTATAAGCATTTCCCATCACTTTCCCGAGGAATCTATCGAAATCAAGGGCTTTACCAAAGCCTTCAAAGAATTCCTCACGCTGAAATATTGCCTCATCTGCCTCAAAGCTTGCCATAATTTTAGACGTGAGGTACTCCGCGAACCAACTATCCTCAGTTATTCTGGGAAACGTCTGCCGCCCCAGTACTATAATATGGAAGATAGAAATATCTTCGCCAAAAAGTTGCATATACGTTTTTGCATGGTCCGCTAGCCCGTTTAAACCGTAGCTCTGAGCAGCCTGGTACGCCAGTACACTCCTGTCAAACTCCATCACGCGTCTTGGCGTGTTGCAACTCGGCGATGGCTTCAAGGTTTGGTAATCACCGGTAAAAAGGTAATGTATAAATGTATGTCCGATATCGCAATCCACATTGGATAGCCTCACTGTACTCGATGCACATTCGTCTTGGCGAACTTGAAGAGAGGGAACTCGGTTAACAATGCTTAATGGCACAGTGTACTGCGTCCTATTGCGCCCAATTACCATAGTCACCGCCTCAGATTCATACAGACTGTGGCATACTTGATTAGGTCTGTTTGATATATGAGTTCTGTGTAAGTTGTGGCTTACCTGGTCTCGGGCTGAATAAATTCCGTGATCTCTGAATCACTAGTGGACTCAGTGCCTTCCGCTCTAGGAAGCTCAACAAAATCACTCGATTCAACGCGAGCAGACTCAGATGATGTCATTTGTTCACTGGGTTCAGGAAGAGAAATGTTTGAATCAGGAGCGGCAGGCTCAGGAGATTGAAAGTCTTCCTCTGTCGCCGGCTCCGGAGACACAAGTTCTTCACTGGATGCAGGAGGGGGCACGTCTGGCTCTTCAGGGGCAACGGGCACAGTAGATGAAATATCTTCTTCAGCCATAGACTCCGGAT